TGCTTAAAATATATACTTATATAAAACAAATATAAATGGAATCACCAAATATCAGGGGAGAAAAAAACCCCAACTATCCACCTCTCGCCATCAAGTGAATCCTCCAGTGCTAGAAATGGGTTATATCTAATTGACTTGTTGGTCACAGGAGCCCTGTGAAAATCCCCACTCAACTCAGACAATTGCCAAAACTGCTGTTAGCTTTCCGCAAAGTAAAGGTAAGGCCCTGTTGCTGCACAGAACACATGCAGAACACAGTGAACACAGAGAAGCGGTGCTAGTGCTTAACTAGGGCCTGCACCCCTACTGACTAGTGTTTATGGTGCTGAAAGGTACTGTTCATGATACCAGATGAGAAAGTCAAACACTACCCAGCTACAAACTCTTTAAACTACAATGGTGACCTGCCTGCAAGATAGACTGCTACAATAGTGGTACAAAGCTTGTTGTAGTAACCAACCTATACCTGATTGGATGTAAGGCCCACTCCATGAGATGGAACCTATGTCTGGCCTTGCTAGGGTAGCTAAAAACCTAAGTAGATAGGCCATAGACCTAGGATAAAACCAAATACTACTGTTCTGCTGAAGGAATATAGCAATAACTCCTAATGACATTCTATTATATTCACAGATCAGTGTCTTGTTCAGCCATCATCAGAGAAACTTCCTTCTACAGGATATGGGAACTGTGAGACCCAGCACTGGACAATGTAGAGGGAGGGAAGGAGAGACACACAGAAAGACACACACACTCTCTCTTTCTCTCTCCCTCTTTCTCACACACACACACACTCACACTCTCTCACACCACACATTCACACACATACTGTCTCTCTCTCTCATACACACACACACACACACACACACACACACACACACACACAAAGAGGTTATCAAACCCTTCTCTCATGCAGAAAGATTATAAAGATTAGTGGAGATGGAAGTCATCAAGGAAACAAGGCTTTCTTAGATGTAACTGAATGGATACACATATGAACTCAGAGACTTTGGCAGCATGCACAGGGCCTGCACAGCTCTAAGCCAGATGGAGCCCCAGTATTGAGAGGGAAAGTGGACACAAGCCCCATCGCTAACCCAGATGTTGTCTCCAAGTGATACCCATTCTCAAAGGAAAAATGATTTTCCCCCAAAGGAATCCCATTGGGTATACAAAGCATACGTAATGTCAGACCGCATATGACCAGCAGTAGATGTCAAACATGAAATGAACTCAATGGCATTTATAAAGATGTTTTGTCTCATAATGACTTGTTTGGGCATTTTTTTAAACCTCAATGGTCTTTGGCTTATATATTATGATAGGAGATATTGTGATTTTATGTTTGTATGTTTCTAATGCTTTTTCTATGTTTTCTAATTTTAGTTTGTTCATGATTCTAGTTTGTTAGTTGTTTTTATTTAAAATTTGTTTGTTTGCTTTCTAAAAAAGAGAGAACGCCTGGAGTTAGATAGGTGGGGAAGATCTGAGAGAAGATGGAAGAAGGGGAAACTGAAATAAGAATATATTGTGTGAAGAAAAAGTTCTCAATTAAAAATATGGAGATGAAAAATTGTTTTTGCACTGACAGACACTAAATAATTTTTAGCATTATGAAATGGTGCCTGAGACTGCTTACCACAAAAATCCTAGCATGAGCTAGGATTATGCACTTCATTCATACGTTATAATTATTTGTTGCCACAATAACCATGCAAGATAGTTACCATACTTACCTCTTAACGATGGATTTATGATACAAAAATTTCCAAACCTAAAAACTTTCAAAAAGCTAACTTAAACATGTAATAATCTCTAACTGACATAATAGGGAACAGTTTGTACATTACAATTGAGAATACAAAACAGTTTGTCTACTATGGAAAACTGTTAGGAGATTCTCAAGAATTAAAGGATTGCCAAATGACCCCACAATTATTCTCTTACAAAAGTACTCTCAGAATCTAAAAGCAGTTGCTCAATTCAGTTTGTTGGTATTTATAATGTTATTCAACAATACTAAAAATCCAGAAAGCATTCACATTTTTATCATTGAATGAATACATAAGTTGTACACAAATATTATTCAGCCATAAAAAGAAATGCCCTTCCCTGATATTGAGATTGACAACTAACTGATCCACTATCATGGTGCCCTCATCTAGTAGCTGATGGAAACAGAAACAAACACCCACAACTAAACAATGAGCCGAACTGGAATCCAGATGCACAGAGGGAGGACAAGACCAGGCTACAGAAACACATAGAGGCAGCTGACCTGAACAAGGAGGAGCTAACAGGCCCTCCCAGACTGATAGGTGGGAATGCAGCATGGGACTGACTCAGACCCCCTGAATATGGGTCTCAGCTAGAAGGACTGAGCAGTCTAAGGGACCTCAGACAGTGGAACCAGGAAGTATTCCTGGTGCACAAAAGGACTTTGCGGGCACATCCCCCATGGAGGGATACTCCCTTAACCGAGAGATAGGAGAGAAGTCCTAGTCCCTACTCCAAATGACTTGAAAGATTTACATGAACCCTCATGGAGGGCATCACCCTACAAGTGGAGTGGGGGGGATGTGAAGGGAGGGTGGTTGAGGGGGCATGAGGGTGGGAGACAGGGAAAGAGGGAGGTAAGGAGAGAGGGAGGGAGGGAGAACTGGGATGGATCTGTAAAATAAAAACAAACAAACAAAACAAAGAAATAAACTCCTAATGTGATACAACATGGATATACTTCCAAAACAGAACTCATGACAGATATAAAAACCCACATGATAAGCTGGATGGTGGTGGTGCATGCCTTTAATCACATCACCCAGGAAGCAGAGGCAGGATTTCTGTGAGTTTGATGCCAGCCTGGTTTACAAAGCTACAAAGAGAAACCCTTTCTTGAAAATCAAAAAACAAAACAAAACAAAAAACAAAAAAACAAAAACAAAACCCCCACATGTTACATATGGATCTCTTCATATGAAATTACAGAGACAGAAGGAAAATTGGTGGTTGTCAGAAAGAAGGAAAATAAGAAGAAACTATTAAAAGGTAAGGGGTTGTCTTAACCAAGGTAATGCCAAGTTCTTCCTCTCCTCTCCTCTCCTCTCCTCTCCTCTCCTCCATGTTTGCATGTTTATTGATAGTCCACAACACCCAGATATCTACTTTCCCTCTGAGGAAATAATGCATCCTCAAAATTAACACTTAATATTTCTCAAAGAAATATAAAACATTACATCATTACATATCATTTTATTCATATTAGTAGCATGAAAAACAGCAGTCTGATAAAAAAAAAAGTAATCACTGGATTAATGGTGATGAAAAGTAGCATAATGCTTTCATAAAGTAGTTCAGCACAATGTATAAAAACCTATTCTATATAATAATATCCTATAATCTCAAAACCTATTTCTATAGTAACTTATAGTAACAATAGCTTGAGTCAATATGCACAAATGTATATCACCGTTTAAAAAGGATCAGGATTAACAAATAGGCTGAATAAGTATATATTCAGGGAGAAATAACTTACAACTTAGATGAACACCAGCAAGTTCCACTGGATGCTCTCCTCTCTACATCCTGCCAGCAAGAGCGCATTCCCAGGCTCTTCCTCAGACCTAGTTCCACAGGTCACTTCCACTCCCTGGCTCCACCCCCAATGGGCGTGGTCAATGCCACAGAAACAGATAAAGTGAATATCTCATTACAATTCCCCTTTTAGTCTAAAGAAAAGATTTATGTTTGATACAAAACTATATACAAATCAGAGAAAAACAAGTGTGTTCTAAGAAAAGGAAAATCAAGAACAAAACGACCTACATATCTAGTCCTAGGGTGAAGGCATAACAGAGTTTACAATAGAGTTGTCCTAAGCTGTAAAACTTAAGTCTAGTACCTAATATATCTAACTAGGAAGAGAGAATAATAGTTGTGATAGTTTAATCTTCAACTTCATCAAGACGTGAGAAGTAAAATAACAATACTAGTGTAGACAGGGAAGTGCAGATGGGCAACTTCCAAAAGGTGCAGCGAGGGCAGAAACAGCAGGCTACGTGGACAGTCACCCAAGGTCTCACAGCAACATTGGTACACCTAGATTTGGCTAAGTCCTAGAGTATCTGACAGAACACAACAACACCAGGGAGGTAGAAAGGCTGTCTTTCCCTGACTTGGCATGGTTCAGCAGTCTTACCACATGGAAGTACTTAGGTTAATAGAAATGGGTTAATAATTAAGACAGATCTAGCCAATAAGAAACTAGTAACTTGCCAACAGAATTGTATCTAATACAGTGTCTCTGTGTGATATTTGGGGCAGGCGCGGCAGTGGGACCTGACTGACAGGGAAAAACCTACTCCTAACATATGTATTTGATCAAAACTACAACATCTGTCATCTGGTGGTCTGGAATTATCATTGAATCCTCAATTTGTCAGACTGGAAGAGATAAGCTCTTTGTAAACTTTTAAAAGGTAAATAATACATACATACAGGAGTACATTAAGATTTAAAGTTAAATTATTATGTAGAATTATGTAGAAAATGATTATGTAGAAAACAGCATGGATTTTTAGACATTTGAAAGAAATAAATGTCTTTGTGAAACTGTGCCACTGGGAAATTAAACATGACATTTTAGGATTACATGGCAACAAAACATATAGTCCAATGAATTAGACAAATGTAATTAGAGGAATTTTAAATAGCACTGGCATCATTTTTTCCAAAAAAGATGAAATCCATAAAAGATGAAAATCAACATGGGTTTCATTAAAACTCAGTTTTAAAACAAATACCTGTTTTATCCATAAATATGTAAAGAATGTCTTTTTAAGTACATAAAGCTTTATATTAGAAATAAATAGGTAACATGGACCCAAACATATAATATGTATTTGTGAGACTTTTAAAACTTGAAAAACATGACTCATGCATAAGCATCCTACCAGCATAAGATTTACTTTTTTATTTCATAAAACTTAATTTTCAACACTTACCAGCAGCTTCAAGGACCAACTGTAGTCTGGCTTTGGCCTGCTCAGCTGGTGTCTAAAAATCAAACATAAAAGACATTGCCAGGTCAGTTTTAACAGATGGATCTTTAAATTAAAGCACTACAAGGTATAAAAAAGGTAGAAAACCTTATCACGATCACTATTACTATCCATCTAAATCCTATCACAGTAATACTCCACAACCAATTCACATATCTATAATGTCAAATCACCTTTTAGTTTATATAATCCAAGAATGATGAGGCTCTTAGGCTGTTACCTAACTCTGTACCAATAAGTAATAACAGAAATAACTGTAAATCCAATAATGAGGCCAAAGTCATGTATTAAGAACAGATTCTCAAATTATATTATTTCCATGCATATAGAAACATTTAAGCAACCTATCTTTATTTAAATAAAGTAATAATAGAAGTCTTGTATGTGGCAGGAGTCAAGATTCTAAAATTAAATATTTCCTAACTATATCTGAAATGAGCAATTGTGTGAAAGCTAAGATATAATGTACTGCACATACTTTCAGTTTCTGCTAGCTCCCTTAAAACTATTGAACAAGAGAACTCTGATTCTATTGATAAGGTTGAATCTAACTTTCCTACCAGCGATTTCATTTCTAAGGGTTTTAGATGATATACTTAGGGCATCCAAACACAGAACATACCCTGGTTACAATATTATAACAGATCAGTTAAAAAGTATTTTTAGAACTTAGAACTTCACTTTGACATACATTTATAAAGATGTCTCAATAAACTAGATAAACAACCTAAATAATATAAAATTTCTCTTACGAACATAAATGCAAAAATATACAATAAAATACTTGCAAACCAAATCTAAGATCCCATCAAAAACATCATCCACCATGATCAACTAGGCTTCACCCAGAGATGTGGGAATGGCTCCATATACAAAAATCAATAACTGCACTGCATCCTATAAACAAACTGGAAGACAAAAACTACAGGATCACCTCATGAGAGGCAGAAAGGACCTTTGATAAAATCTAGCACCCTTCATGATAAAAGTTCTGGAGAGATTAGTAATACAAAGGATATTCAACATAATAAATGCAGTTGACAGTAAGCCCATAGCCAACATCAACTTAAATGTAGAAAAACTCAAAGCAATTTCACCATATTCAGGAATAGGACAAGGCTGTCCAGTCTCTCCATACCTATATTATATAGTATTCAAAGTCTTAGCTACAGCAACAAAACAACTGAAGATCAAAGATATATAAATTGAAAACAAAGAAGTCAAAGTATCATTATTTTCAGATCATATGATAGTAAACGTAAGTGACCCTAAAAAATCTACAGGGGAACTCATTGGATACAAAATTAATAGCCCTCTACATACAACTGTCAAATGGACTGAGAAAGAAATCAGGGAAATCTTAATAGCCTCAAATAATGTAAAATATCAGGGCGTAACTCTACCAAGGAAGTGAAAGATTTGAACAATAAAAATTTCAAGTTTTTGAAGAAAGAAATTGAAGAAGATATCAGAAGATGGCAAGATCTCCCCAGCTGAGGGATTGGTGGGATTAGCATAGTAAAAATGACTACTCTATCAAAAGTAATCTACAGATTCAATGTAATCCCCATCAAAATCCCAACTGAATTCTTTATAGACTTTGAAAGGAGAATACGCAATTTCATATGGAAACACAAAAAAAGTGAGGATAGCTAAAGCAATCCTGAATAATAAATGGTGAAGATTTCACAATTCCCGATTTCAAGCTACAGGGATATAGTAATAAAAACTGCATTTTATTGGCATAAAACAGAACCTTTGATCAATGGAATCAAATTGAAGACTCAAGACTAATCCATACATCTCCGGTGACCTGACTTTTGATGAAGACACAAGAAATACACACTGGATAAAAGGTAGCATCTTTATCTAATGCTTATAATCAAACTGGATGTCTGCATGTGGAAGAATGCAAACAGATCCCTATCTATCAGGGTGGACAAAACATAACTCCAAATGGACCAAAGATCACAACATAAAACCAGATACACTGAACTTGATACAAGAGAAAGTGGTGAACAGCCTGAATTACTAGCATAGGAGAAGACTTTATGAACAAAACACTAATAGAGCAGACACAACAATTAATGCAACCATTAATAAATGGGGCCTCCATTGATAGGAAAAAAGGGCAGCCTACAAAGTGAGAAGACACTTTTTTTTTTTTTTTAACCAACTTCATATCCAATACAGGCCTAATATCTAAATTATATAAAGAACTCAAGAAACCAGACATCAACAACACAAATCATCCAATTAAAATACGAGGTATAGATCTTAACAGATAATTCTCAATAGAGGAATCTCAAATGGCTAAGAAGCACTTAAATAAACATTCAACATTCTTAGCTATCAGAGAAATGCAAATCAAAATGACTTTGAGATTCCATCTTATATCTTTTAGAATGGTTAAGATCAATAACACAAGTGACAGCTCATGCTGGTAAGGATGTGAAGCAAGGGTAACACTCCCCCATTGCTCGTAGAGAACAATCTTATATGGTCACTAAGGAAATCAATATGTCAGTTCCTCAGAAAACTGGGAAGTAATCTATCTCAAGACCAGGCTATAACATTCTTGGTCATATACCTGAAAGATGCTCCATATTACCAAAAAGACCTTTGCCTTATTCTTAATAGCCAGGAAATAGAAACAATCTAGATGTCCCTCAACTACATAATGACTAAAGCATATGTGGCACATTTGCACAATGGATAATTACTCCATCTGTTTTTTTTTTTTTTTTTAAAGACAATATGAAATTTGCAAGCAAACAGATGGAACTAGGAAAAAATCATCATGAGTGAGGTAACCCAGACCCAGCCTGATAAATATGGTATGCATTCACTTAATATATGGATATTAGACATGAAATAAATGATAAGCAGCCTATAATCCAGAGACCCAGACAGTTTAAGCAAAGAGTAAGGGACTAGACAGCACATATAGATCTCCTAGGGGAGGGAGATAGATTTTTAAGGTGGACTGGAGGTAGATGGGGACAGGAGTGAGATGAAAGGGGAAATAGGGCTCAGAGAGGAAATGTGGAAAGAGACAAACGGAATTGAGGAAAATCTGGTGCAGTGGAAATTTCCTCAAATAAATGAAGGTGATCCAAAATGAGGTAGGTCTCTTAATAGTGGAGGATACAGAATCCCAACTGGCCACCTCTTGTCACTAAAGAAAGCTTCTAGTTGTGGGACCAGGTTGTATTTAATTTAGTTGTTGACTAAGGGGTTTCCATGAAAATCCCCAAACAACCCAGACTGTAGCTATGGCAATGGTTTGCTCTCAGAAACTGACATCTGTGCCCCATTACCAAGAACAACACCCATTCAACTCACTGAACAGGTGAGTTGGTGCCTACATTGAGCCTTCATCCCTACCTTCTAGTGTCTTTGATGATGGAAAATACTCTATAGGCTACCAAAAGAGAAACAAACACCAACCCAGGCACAAACTTTGACCTACAATATGTCCTCCCTTGAAAGTGCTTTGGTGGCACAGAACTTGTGGGAGTAGCAAACAAATGACTGATTTGACTTAAAGCCTGCTCCACAAGATGGAACCCATACCCAACAGTGCTTGGGCGACCAAGAACTAGAGACTAGCTAACCCAGAGACCGAGAGCAAAGCCAAACACTACTAAAATAATCAATAAAATGAATCCTAATGATGTTCTGCTATACTCAGATCATTGCCTATTCCAGTCATCATCACCTGCTGAGCTGCCTAAAAGCAATGTGGTCCAGGTATTCAAATTTTGTGAGCTGTTACCCATGCTGGGGTAAGCTTTGATGATGCAGTTATTTCTCATTTCTGTTCCTGTATGTAACTTCAATATTGCTGTAGCCCCATTAAAACTCACTGATTCCCCAATTTCAATTTTGGTGAAACCCTTACCTTGTTTGGTCTATCATTGATTCCCTATCTGGGATGAGTAGACATTTGCTCATATTTCCAAAAAACATAATAGCCATGGAGTATGACAGAGAGCAGAAAATAACTATGTGGTCTCAATTCTCTCCTTCCATCTTTATAAGGGTTGGAGGGTTCAAGCTCAGGTTTTCAGGCATGAAAAGCAAGTGACTTTTCCCACTAAGCATCCTGCCATCCCCACATTGCATTTCTAGTAAAGATAAAAGATATACACTTTCCCTTCACCAGCTGCAGCACTCAGGAGATCTGGTCCCACCCTTCATCTGCCACATGGCGATGTGAGCAAGGGGGAGATGCTCCACTACACCCCCACCACCTTTGGAAAGTGGGAGAACTGGCCCTGCATCTCACCAGCTTCAGCACTTGGCAGAATGACCCTGAACCTTGCTTGGGCAACAACAGTAGAGCTGGCCCTGGTGGTGTAGGTGCAGGTGAGCTAGCCCATTCCCTGATGCTTACTGCAGAGGGTAAGCAAGCAAGGACAGTGCTGGAGAGTTCATCCTGATATTGAAGGTGAGGGAGTGCTGGCGGGCTGACAAATCCAGCAGCCACCCAGGCTGAGGACAACCAGGGCTGTGAGTTGTCCACCACAACACCCACCCCATCTGTGAACTGCTGAAGCACATGAAGGGGCTGGTCCTGCAGATTCAAAGCTGCAGGATCTTCATGACACAGGACAACAACAGGATATATGAGAGGAGCTCAATGACAGCCAAGAATTGATAATGTAGCAGAAGCCTGAGGCCTTGAACCAGATCAATGACTCAGTGCCAATGAACACTTGCAAGTAAGATGTATGGACTAAATGGTACACTGTATGATTCACTTGTCACACTATAGCTTCCACAATGAGATATTTCTTTTCTTTTAAATTTTATTTTGATCTTTATTTAGGGGCAGGGAATCTTTATTTATTGCAAGGGAAAAAGGCAGATTTGAAGTGATGGGAAGTCGAGTGGGATTGAGACATATAATGTGAAATCCACAAAGAATCAATAAAGTTAAATTAGGAAAAAAAAAGATATATTTTTCAGGGCTATTGTTATTTTGTAACA